GATCCTGGGGACAGGGGAAATTGGGAAAGGACCCTGGTGGCACTCACTTGGTGGTGTCCACGTCCGGGCTGGTGGCAGCAGAGCCCCTGTGCCCCTGTCCCCAGATCAGTTCAGTGACAGGCAGGATCTGGCCACCCCTTCCGGCAAATCCTGGCCCTTGGGACTGCGTTGCCTGCCCAGTTGGGCAGCAGCTGCCGGTGACAGCAACAGACATCGCTTCCCGGTCCTGAGCTTAAAAATAACCTGACCCAGGTCCACACAGTGGGCACAGAGCCGGGGCTGCCGTACCCCCGGCACCGGCACAGCCGGTGAGTCCAACCGAACTGTGCTGAGCTCTCTGAGGGCTCCGGCTGAGCTCCGAGGGGCTCTACCAGGCTCTTATTAAACCCCAAAGTTCTTTGGAGAGCAGGATTTGACCAGACATTTCCCAAGCGGTGGGACCAGCTGGAGCCAGGTGCCCCAAGAATAAACCCCAACACCACGGGGGCATCGCGTGGGTGCTGGAGGGGTTTGGCCTCAGGTGCCACAGCTCCACTCCTTGTCACCGCGGTGCCAGCTGTGGGGAGATCACACCCGGCGTGTCCGCGCTGGCAGATTCCCCAGGAACAAGCTCTTACTAAACCGGGAGCAGTGAGGGACATGCCAGGAGGTTTACACACATCTTGGAACAGGTTTCAGCCGCTGCGACTCCTCATGCTCCACTTTGACCCAGCTAAACCAGTTGCTCCAGTTGTTGGTGCCGGGGCTGGGCTGATCTTGTCTCTTCATCCGATCACTGGAACATGGAAGAGGCTTTTCCATCCCTGGAGTTTGGAGCAGAGGGAGTTGCCAGGTGCCCACCGTGCCAGGACTGGGGGCATCATGATGATGCTGGGCACCCAGTTTTGCAGCCTCAGTTAAACACATTCAGCTCCAACAAGCCCTGATGGGTGCAGTGGGCTGGTGTGGATGACTACGGGGCCAGCACTTGTGGTGGCCACAGTGACCACCCCTGGTAGAGCCAAGACAGGTTGGGGACAACACCAGAAGCAGGACGTGTTGGTAGATGGATGCACCTGCACCCCAACCCTGACCTTTCCCCCTGGCACATGGGGTCCTGCGATGCTCAGCCACTTCCCAGTAGCACTGGGGTCCCCGAAGCTGGGTCACCACTCCCTGCTCATGGGGACAGCCCTGAGTGGCCTCAACCAGGAGGTGACATTTCTCCTGTCACCTGTGATTTGGCTGCATCCTGTCGTGGGGCCGCTGCAGCTCCTGCTGCCTCCTCGCCCCATCCTGGCACCCCTAATTCCAGGGTTGGCGAGTCACAGGCCCGCCTGGCTCTTAGGGCCGGTGATTCACCCCAAACCTGTCCCTGTCCCTGCCGAGCCTGACTCACTCCAGAGGTTTCCCAAGAAACCATCTCAGTCCCTTGACGTGGGACTCGACGGAAGTCCCGTCCCTGTCCCCCTTGTCACCCCGGGGAGGGGGACAGACCGGATGGGGCTGGAGGAAGCCAATTCCTCCTTTGTGAGCTGGTGTGACGGGTGCAGGGTGGGGACCAGGGTGCCCGGCGCCGTCTGGAGCCTCCTCATCCCCGTGGAGAGGTGGAGTGAGTGCGTCAGGGCTCAGCAGACACCAGGCTGGTGATGATGGTGGCATCGCGCCGGGGATCTCCTGCTCTGGGTCCCCAAAACACTGTTGGTGGGGGGATTCCAGGCTGTGCTGAGCTCCCAGGGACCACGTACCCATGTCCTGTCCCCAAGGCTCTCATGACACCCCCTCATGCCCGATGTCACACTGCCATGGGGACGTCAGGACGCAGCTGCTGGGGCGTGTGGGGATGAGGTGACTGGAAATCAGGATCATCC